CTTTGTAAAAAGCTTTGAGGTTGGGGGGGGGGGGGGGGGGGACCTTGGCGCGCTTAAAGATTGAAATTGGGCTCTACTTAATGTGTCAACTCACATAAAGATACTGAAGGCCATTACACTACAATGGTAAGAAGGAAAAGGCTTAATATACATAACGATTCACGTGGTCCTTAAACTACAATACTGAGGAGGAAAAGGCAAATAAATCCGTAGTCTACATTGATAACCGTTTCTAAACTGCAAATCTTGAACTAATAAATCATTATTTTCCTTACGTAAATGTACATGCAGATATCATACAAGCACAACCACATAAACAATATGTCTGTAAGTATATAGATCCTGACCATTTGTTATCCGCATTGCCAGCCCAAAATCTGCAAGCTTTATCTTTCCCGAAGTTGTGAAAAGAATATTCTCGGGCTTAATGTCTCTGTGAACAACCCCCATATCATGACAATACTTGATAACTGACACAACTTCCTTGAATATATTAGCAGCACGATGCTCTGAATACCGACCCTCTTCCAACATCTGATCAATCAAGCGTCCCCCAGAGCACAACTCCATGACAAGATGAAAAGACTCATGTTCCTCGTACACTGCTTGCAATGTCACAACCCCAGGGTGACCAGATAAGTGCTGCATTATCTCCACCTCCCTGTGAACCGTTTCCTCTCCCTTCTTTAGAGTCTTACATGCAAATTCTGCTCCACTGGTCCTAGACCGACACAACCAAACTGAACCAAACTTACCATGCCCAATTGTGGCACCCGATATATAGTCATTCTCAATCTTATTCTTCCTACCCATTTGGGTAGCTACATCAATACAACCAATCTTCCGCTTCAGACCCCTTCCAGGTGTGGCTAAAGATGAAGTCCCGCACGGAGGTGCAGTGGCAATGCCCGCAATTCTACTTTTATAGGAAGCAACAGGCCCTTCATTGGAATCTTCTTTGCAACGCTTGTTCAACCTTGTATAATCTTCAAGTGAATAATGCGAGGTAAGAACTGATGATCGCGAATTGTTGGTTGACGACAAAAAGTTGTGTAGATCCGAGCATGGGTCTGTTTCGCTTCCTTTCCTCTTCTTCCTCATCAAGTAAGGCTTTTATCAAGAAGCACGCCTACAATTCATATAAAGTGCAGAACACACTCTGGCTTCTGTTCCAAAATCAAAAGTAGACAAATAAGTTCGCATATTCTACTGATCTAGTTAACTGATGGTTTACTAGAGATAAGATACATTCCGAAATCGAAAAGATGATCCCATAACAAGAATCTACTATATCCGTTATCGAGAAACTTCAGAAACATAATTAAAGAAAATAAACCTCGAAAATTACAGGTCACTAAGCCGATTTACAAATTACACCGTTTCAACACAGAAAAAGATGGAGGTTCCAGAAGAAGAAGAAGAAAAATCAAACACAGTACGGACACATAAAAATCAGAGAACTTGTTTTCTGTTTCTCGGCAACCAAACGAAATAACATATCACATATAGAAAACGCCACAATCGTTGAACCACAATCAGATGAGCCAATTATTCAGCAAAAAAATAGAAAATTGAAGGGGGAAAAAACGCACCTTTTGCACAGAGCCAATGTCGTCCAGATTTCAGAATTCGGCGACGAGAGAACAAGTCATGAATCGGCAACGGGTCAACGAAGTTCGGCGAATTCCGAACGAAACGGGGAACATCGAGCCCGAAACCCTAGAAATCTGGCATTCACAGAATTGGGGGAGAAAAGATTTTCCCGTGAGGAGAGACGAGACGAGAAAAAGAAAGATCCAAACAAGAGAGAGAGACGAAAAAGAAAGATGAAGAGAGAGAAAATAAAAAGAGGTTTGGGGTTTTGCTGGAGGTTTGTTTTCTATATTCGTCTTTGAGTTTAAATCATGATTCATAATTTTTTATAGTATTTTTTTTTATAAAAAATATACGTAAAATGAGAATAGTTTTAAATTATAATTCTAAATACATAAACTAAACGTCTTTATGAGAGAGAGATTCGAATTATAATTTATAATTCGTTATAGTATTTTTTCTTATAAAAAATACACGTAAAATAAAAATAATTTTAAATTATAATTCTGACACTATAAACTAAACGTCTCCTAAATTTAAGTTATGATTCATTTCACTTCTTCAAATTTTATTAGAGTGAAAATTTTCAAAAATAATTATATATAATTTTTTTATTATAATAAAAAATTTTCATATAAAGTCACATCTTAATTTAAATTAAAAATTTAAATCAATAAATTAAATAAATCTTAAAATGTTTAATAAATTATAATTTTATTCAATGACTTTTAAAAACGATTGTCAAACTTCTAAAAAGCGGGTTAAAAGTTATTTATGCACAGTAATTTCTGCTGTTATTATCTAAATTTAGGAAAATAACCATCATAATAAAACTTAATTCTCAATCTATTTATTTTTACTTTTTCCATACTAAATTAAAAAATATTTTAAAATAGTCACTTAAAAATCTTTAATGAGTATACTATGCTAAATTTTATTCAAATACTTTTAAGACCCGTTTAGCTCGTCAATTTAAGTTTTTAATTTGAGTTTTGCTACAATAAAAAGCTCTTAAAAATAGTCACATTTAATTTTTTTACTAATGTAAAAAACTCACATAAAGTCACATCTCAACTCGAATTAAAAACTCGAATCAGCGAACTAAACGAGCCCTTAGTAATTATCAAAATGTTTAAAATAACAACAATAAATAAGAAATTTATAAGTAGATGAAAAAATTTTCCTATCAATAAAAGTAATTTATTTTTAGGAAATATTTTAATTAATAAAATTAAATTTAAATTTTTTACATTTTGAATATTGGCCATAAAAATAGAAATAAAACTAACTATAAATATATATTAAAGTAGGTCTACTTTCGTCATTATACATTTCTACAGTAGTTTTATACACAATTTACTAAACACCTAACTTTCTATCTTTGACATTCACAACAGTTTTGTAAAAATATTTACCAAATATCTATATGCTTTTAGTCACAGCAACTTATTACTAACACAGTAATACTAAACTACTAAACTGGTCCTAAGAGAGCAACAAAGAGGGTAACCCTAGCATTTTTTAACTTTTCATTGGATATGTCATTCACACTAAAATGGGAGAACCGTGACAGAAAATTCCCTTTCTAAAAAAAATCCATGTCAGTTTGCATCATCAAAACGCAATGTTATGCTAAAGATTGCAAATTGTAACAACTAATGGGATCGCCAATGCTAATCAGTGTTAGCTAACTAAGATGCAATAATGTTTGATTTTCGGGTTTATTTGAGACCCAATATGACAATCATTAAGTAATTTCAAAGAGAACACAAAATAAGCTTGCAAGTTCCTGTGTATTTAACTAAAAATAAAACCGCATTAAAAACATCCTGTTGAAGGCTTTCACAAAATAGTCTTGAGGTGAAATGTTAATACGAGACTAATACGAGTAGACCTATTTAAGCCCTACTAAGCCCCATCTGGCTGGATAAAGGGGTTAGCAATCTCATCTGTACCATCAGTTGGCGAAACGAGCATGACAGCAGTTCCCCTACAGACCTGCAGTATTAGAATATCATCGTAAGGCGTAATTAAGCTAGATGCTACATCTTTATAAGCATTTGAATTAAACAAGAGTAACAGACAGACATACACGAGTAGGATACATACTATTAGACCAAGGCGCCTGGTCTGATCAGTAGTCTTCAACGGATCATCAGGATCTGACAACACAACAGAACATTTTTGCGTTGGCATGCAATCTACTACCTTAAGAAGTTCTATCATTTACCATGAAAAGAGCCTGAAATTAGAAATCTTAAAAGTGTCGACTGAAGAAAAAGCAAATTCTAAATTGTTATATAGTGTTCAAACTTCAATTCTATATTTGGAAGAAGTTAACCATGTTAATACTCAAAATGTTGACAATAGCAGCGTCCGTAAATTCAAGTCGCTGTTTAGTAGATTATTTTGCAACCAGACTCAGATAAGCCGTCCGAGGTGAGTGATGATGGCTAAGAAAAAGAGTACGTTTCTAGAGCCTATTTGAAGCAGATTCCTACAACTGGTTTGGTTATAACTATCATACAAATAGACATGCACAACGCACATGAAATAAAACGAAATAATCTAGTAAAAGTGTGGAATTTCCCTCAAAGTTAGCATATTTAGAATTATTTATAGGAGGAAATCAGTGGATTAGAGAATCCGGATTTTCCTATTCTGATTTCTTGAGTTTAGGAGGATAGTTTCCTTTTCCTTATATTTAGGGATTTGTTACCTTTGTTAGTTATGTAAATTGTGTATATAAGTGTGTATTGGTTACCGACTAATTTTAATGAGAAAAAGAAGATTATTCTTCCTCAAAATCTTCATAGTATCAGAGCCAGGTTTTCTGAAAAAAAAAAACCCTAGCCTCCATTCCCAACCGTTCCTTATAGCCAAGCACAGCCCTGGCATCCGAAACAACTAGCTCTACCTCTGAAGTTTCTTCTCATTCCAATCAAACACCTGCTCTTCCAAATTCTAGAAATTCCGGAAATTCTGAAAATCTTTCACTCCTGATCACTAACCACAAACTTAATGGGCAAAACTTCCTCCAATGGTCTCAATAAGTCCGGATGTTCATCTGTGGCAAAGGCAAAGAAGATTATCTAACAGGGGAGATTCCAATTCTGAAGAAGGATGATCCATGCTACAAAAAGTGGAAGGCTGAAAATCATCAGATTATGTCCTGGCTCATCAATTCAATGAATGTTGATATTAGTGAGAATTTTCTTCTCTATGAGACTGCACAAGAAATTTGGGAAGCCGTAAGAGAGACTTACTCTAGTTCTGAAAATACATCGGAGTTATTCGCAATTGAGTCCATCCTTTACGATCTACGGCAGGGAGATCTCACAGTGACACAATACTTCAACTCACTCACCCGTCACTGGCAGCAACTAGACATGTTTGAAAGCCACGGATGGAAGTGCCCGGAAGACAATGTCCTGTATTGAAAAATAGTGGAGCAGAAGAGGACATTTAAGTTTCTACTGGGTTTAAACAAGAACCTAGATGAAGTTAGAGGCAGAGTGATGGGAACTAAGCCTCTTCTGAGCCTTCGAGAAGCCTTTTCTGAAGTTCGCCGTGAGGAAAGCAGGAAAAAGGTCGTGATGGGTGGTCAACATTCATCTCCAACGTTGGAAGGATCTGCCCTTGCTGCCCGTGGCTTACGTCCTTCAAATCAGCATGATTCTTGCCAACAGAGGAAGGGAAGATCATGGTGCGATCACTATGCTAAACCTGGCCACACCAAGGACACGTGTTGGAAGATACACGGCAAACCTGCTGATTGGAAACCATCAAAATCAAGTTCTGACAGACAGCCGTGCAAATTCAGCCACTGCAGCCGAGGAAAAGCCAGTCACTACCGAGTCAAGTCCCTTCACCAAGGAACAACTTGAAGTGCTCCAAAAGCTTCTAAGCAGTACCCTCTCGCAGCATGCTGCTCCTGCCCCATCCGCTAGCATGCACACACAAGCAGGTAATTCACAATCTACATTCTCCATGTGTGCTAAACATCCAACACATTGGATTATTGACTCAGGGGCGTCAGACTATATGACGGGAGATGGGTCTCTCTTTTCATGAATATCAACCGAGTAATACCAATCTCCCAGTGCACATTGTCGATGGTTCTCTGTCTAAGGTGGCCAGGATTGGATCCATTCGACTCTCACCCAAAATCATTCTCAAATCTGTGCTTCATGTCCCTAAACTTGATTGCAACTTAATGTCCATCAGTAAGTTCACTCGTGATCATCATTGTGTTACTAAATTTCTCCCAAATGTGTGTGTTTTTCAGGAATTGAGTTCGAGAAAGAGGATTGGCAGTGCTGAGATGTGCTCAGGACTTTATCTCTTCAAGACACCTCAACTTGGAGAAGCTTTAGTTGAGAGCAAAAACCTTCCTAAGAGTCAGTCAATAAGTAATTTCAGTCCTAAGTCTGTCTTTAATTCTAGTGTCAATAAAGATAGTGAAGTCATGTTATGGCACTATCGGTTAGGTCATCCAAACTTTATGTATCTTGAAAGGTTATTCCCTCATTTATTCATCAATAAAAATTCAAAATTTTTTAACTGTGAAATCTGTCAACTTGCAAAACACACTCGTCCTATCTATCCAAGTGTGCCCTACTGTCCATCAAAACCATTTGCATTGATTCACAGTGATATTTGGGGACCCGCTCGAATAAAAAATATTAATGGAGCACGGTGGTTTGTGACTTTTGTGGATGATCATACATGACTCACTTGGGTTTTCCTTAGAAAGAAAAGTCAGAAGTTGATAGAATATTCCAAGCATTCAACTCCATGGTTCAAACACAATTCAGTACTAAAATCCAAATTCTTAAGTCTGACAATGCTAGGGAATATTTCTATTCAGTTCTAGGCAACTACTTGTCCCGACAGGGAATTGTCCAAATGAGTTCATGTGTCAATACACACCCCAACAAAATGGAGCGGCTGGGAGAAAAAACCGTCATTTGTTGGAAGTAGCCCGATCCCTCATGTTTTCCACTGGAGTTCCAAAGTATCTTTGGGGGGAAGCCATTCTTACCTCTACATATCTCATCAACAGGATGCCATCTCGTGTTCTAAAATTTGGTACACCACGTCAAGCCCTCATTAACATATTCCCTCATGCTCGTGTTCTTTCCTCTGATCTTCCTTTCAAAATCTTTGGGTGTTCTGCATTCGTCCATGTATACCCCCAAAATAGGA